AAAAACAACAACAACAAAAGAGTTGATACCAAGGCTCAATAGAAAGTAAATGTCTAGAAAAGAATGAAGGCAACATATGTACAAACGTGCTTGATTCAATCGATATATGGATTGTGATAAGAGTTGTACGAGCCCTCAATAAAATGGTTTAAAAACAAATAGATAAAATGTGCTGAAAAACTCGGCTTAAAAAAAAAAGAAGAAGAACAGGAATAGATCGCTGGGAAGTCTGAATTCAGGGTGCCCCTAGAATCACCTTCTTTCAGAAGGCTCTAGCAGGTTGAGCCTTCCTTGTTTCCCTTAGCGTCTAGGCCTCCCAGGCATCCCTTGCCATGTGCACGTACCTTCCAGTTGCCATCCTTCCTTTCTCGCTGTTTTAAAATAAGGAGCCACTCAGATTGGACTAGGATCCTGTACGACTGGTGTCAACCTAACTGATAACATCTCCAAATATTTCATACCAAACTAGGTCACGCCATGGATTAGAACTTCAACATAGCTTTTTTGGAGGGGTCAGGGGTTGCTGTTAAGTATCGTCAAGGTGGCTCCAACTCACAGCAACCCTACATATCACTGAATGAAACACTGCTCAGTCCTGCACCATCCTCACAATTGTTGTGTTTGAGCTCATTGTCGCGGCCACTGTGTCAATTTGTCATGTGGACGGTCTTTCTCTTTGTCACTGCCCCTCTACTCTGCCAAGCATAATGTCCTTCGCCAGGGACTGCTCTCGCCTGACATATCCAAACCTTATGAGATGAAGTCTCACCATCCTCACTTCTAAGGAGTATTCTGGTTGTATTTCTTCCAAGACAGATTTACTTGTTCCTTTTGAAATCCATGGTACTTTCAAGATTCTTTGCCAACATCATAATTAAATGCATTGGCATCTTCCATCTTCCGTATTCAATGTACAACTTTCACCTGCATATGAAGTGATTGAAAATACCTTGGTGTGGTAGTTACATAATTTCGTGTCAACTTAAAGTGTAGGGGTAGAGTGTAGCCTGTCAGTCAGGTGACAGCCTGATGATTCCTCCTTGTGGCGTGATCTCCTCATAAGGAGAGTTCTGGGAACCTCCCCTACCCACTTCTGCCTTCACCTTCCTTCTTTCCTTCTGGCGGGCCACTTGGAGACCTGCTGGGGACCTGCCAGAGCCCTTGAGATGCATCCACCAACATTGGATCCACGGGAGTTTTCACCCACTGGCCTATGATCTTCCTGCATTCTGTATCATTGCATGTGGCTGCGTGAGTCTGAAGAGGGACTTATGGACTAACATTGGACTTAGGGACTTGAGTTGGACTGGGCTGGGATGTTTTCCTGATATCTAAAGCTTCTTGATATAAAGCTCTCTCTTATACATATATGTGTGTCATTGGATTTGTTCCTCTAGTCAACCCAGCCTAACACACGACTTGGATCAGGTGCACCTTAGTCCTCAAAGTAACATCCTTGCTATTCCCAATGCAATGTGTTGTTTGATCTCTTGACTGCTGCTTCCACGAGCACTGATTGTGGCTCTAAGCAAGATGAAATCTTTGACAACTTCAATATTGTCTCACTTTTTCATGATATTACCTATTGGTTCAGTGGTGAGGATTTTGTGGTGTGGAGAGACACATAAACTCATAATATCTGGTAATTAACAGTAAATGTTGACCAAGATATGGGTTTATGGATCTATGCATTGTTGGTCAGATGTAAATTGGAAAGCAATCATTTTGGAAAGTTCTTTGGAAATTCCACATAGTTTGAGGACAGATAGGCTCTGTAGGGTCACTAGGCATCAGAATCGACTTGATGGCAGTGAGTTTACGGATATTTTGTGCACCAGACATCTTCCGAATGACACCAGTTGGAAGTCTTCTCGTTGCCTTTTAAAACAGGGCTCTGATTCACCTTGGGTGACCTGGCAGGAGTCAACTTGATGACAGTGGGTTAAGGAAATCATCATGTACTGTCTTGTGCTTCTAGAAGCTACGGGTTGGAAACCAGGGTATCGGCAGGGTTGCTTCCTTCTGAAGGCTCTGAAGGGTAACATGTTCCCCACGTTCCTCTACATTTCTGGTGACAGTCTTTTGGCTCCTAAATACATCAGTCTGATCTCTGCCTCCATCTTCTCCCTCTGTGTCTCTTTTATATAGTCATGTACAGCCCTGGGGTTGTAGTGGGTTACTTGTTAGACTGCTAACCACAAGGTCAGCAGTTCAAAACCACCAGCTACTCCTTGGGAGAAAGATGATGCTTTCTACTCCTGTAAAGAGTTATACTCTCAGAAACCCATAGGGGCAGTTCTCCCCTGTCACTGAGTCAGAATCAACTCTATGACAGCAAGTTTATAAGCTCAGGACCGACTTGAGTCCAGTAGGATGTCATGTTAATTGGCAACCTCTTCAAAGACCCTGGATTCCACCAAAAGAACTCTGGATGCAACCTTGGCTGCAAATTTAAACCTATTTAGTAAGTAAAGACCTGGTGCTCTGCTTCCAAAGAGGTTACAGCCAAGAAACTCGTATGCGGCAGTTCTCCTCTGTCCCATGCAATGTCACCCAACATCAACAGCTCCAAACAAGATCATATGCACAGGTACAAGGATTGGGATTCAACATACCTGCTGTTTTAGGGAGGTGGGGTAATTAAAACTATAACATCTGGATGTGCAGCTGGAGCTTGGAAGAGGAGTCTCTCGCCTTCACAAAACACCTCTCCTTTCCTCACCTTCAAGTCCAGCTCCTGTCCCTTCGTCTCCATTTCCTTCTTGCCATTTGTCCCCCAACTAAGTCCACAGAATCCAATGATATCAAATTGAACCCTGGATTGACAAAACTCAAAACTCGCTACCATCTAGTTGATTCTGACTCCAGAGGACAGAAGAGAACTGCCAGTGGGGGGTTTGATACAAATCTTTACAAGATTAGGAAGCCTCATCTTTCTCCCACAGAGCAGATTGTGGTTTCAAACTACTGACCTTGTGATTAGCAATCTAAAGCATAATCCACTGTGCCACCGGGGCTCTGGGTCTTTCTAGTGGACCTTTTTCCTCTTGGCTCCACCATGCCAATCCACTTGTCACTCTTCCAACAGGACCCTTTATTTGTTTCTATTTTGTTTTGGGGGTTCCTCTAGCTGTTGAGTGTACTGCCTCTCTCTTCTCCACTGCTGTCTCTCTTCTTTCCAATCTGACTTTTTAGAAAACAGCTTTACTGAGAGATCATCCATGGACTCTACAGCACTCACTGAAATGTACCTCTCAGCGGCACAGGAGGTCAGTTGTGTTCTTATCACTATGAAGAGACCCCTTTGCCCTGTCACCCTCTTTCTCCTCAACCTCTCGAGCCAGCTGAGTTCGTTGGCAGGCACCATGGAGTTGATTCTGACTCAGAATGAAACCCACGTGACAGAGCCGAACTGCGCCCACGGTTTTCTTGGTTGTAATCGTTCCAAGCACAGATTGCAGGTCTATCTCCAGGCCCCCTGGGTGGGTGGAACAACCACCTATGTTTTGGTTAACTGGTACACCATCAGGGCATTTTCCCTAGCTCTAGGTGGCATGGTGGGTGACAAGTTGGGCTGCTAACCACAAGGTCAGCAGTTTGAACCACCAACTGCTCTGAAGTGAGAAAGATGAGGCTATCTCCTCTGTTAACGGTTTAGTCTCAGAAACTAACTGTTTAGTCTCAGAAACCCTCGGGAGCAGTTCTACTCTGTCGCGATGAACTGGGATGGACTTGATGGCAACTGGTTGGTAGACAACTACTCCTCTAGTCCAGCTCCTAACAGTCACTGCCATCGTCAGTACTGACTCACGGGGACCCAACAGCATGGTAGAACTGCTTCTGTGGGTTTCCGAGACTGTAACTCTTTATGGGAGTAGAAAGTCTCATCTTTCTCCTGTGGAACAACTGGTGGTTTTGAACTGCTGAGCTTGCAGATTGCAGACAATGTGTAAACCACTATTCTGGCCATTTCCCTGTGAATAAAATCAGACCCCATGTGGTCTTTTGTGCAGTCTCTCCCACACAGCCTTGCTTGCTTTTCTCCATCAGTGCTTGAGTGAGGGGCTCTGTGGAGGAGGGTCTGAGGACGAGGGCTGGGGAACTGGAAAGGAGAGCAGATGCAGGCAGCCTGGAGGAACGAAGGACAAGACACCTGCCAAGCAGGAGTGACTGGGGGTTGATGCAGGAAGGGGCGGGTTTGGAGTCCCAAGACCTTGTGTCCTAGGCCCACCTGGCCCTGTCCAGCTCACTTTCCTCTGCAATTTGCAGGGCAGGGCTCTGTTTCCTCTTCTGTGAAATTGGGTGTGGTCCAGGCCAGAGTAGCCCGCAGGCGGCAGTGGGTGACAGTGCTCAGGTGTACCTCATTGTGTCAGCGGTACATGCCCTGAGGGCTGGTCTGTGGCTGCCACTGCCTCAAGCCAGGCCTTGGCTAAGGCCTCTAGTGGCCTGGCATGTTGCCCCCTCTTGGGGAGTGGTCTGGAGCCACCTCTGGCTGGGGACTGGCCTTCCAGTCTTCCTGGAGGACTTAAGGCTCTGGGGAACCTGACACTGCTCATTCATTCATTCACTCACTCACTTGCTTGTTCCTTCATCAACTTTACAGATCTGGAGGTGTGCTGTACTATGCATGGGACACAGCCCATCCTTGGAGCTCTCAGTCAAAGGGAGACAGACACATGGACCTAGTGTCCTGCCCACCCCTGTATACCTCTAAACTTTATATACTTCCTGCTCGCCCTTCTGCAAACTGACTTCATAAATCCATGTTTCTGGTTCCTACAATAGCCAAGCACCCTCAAGTCCAGGCTGACTCACAACGACCTCATGTGTGTCAGGGTAGAATTGTACCCCACGGGCTCAGTGGCTGGCTTTTCAAGCACAGATTGCCAGGTCTGTGTGCCGAGAAACCTTTAGCCCCCTTGGCTAGCAGCAGAGCACCTTGACCGTGTGGCCCAGGTACTCCTTATGCTGTTTAAGACTTACTAACTGGTGTCCTTGAATGTATAGGAATTTCTGCCTTTATTTTTTTCACAGGGAGGATTATCGTAGCGGGAATAACCTCAATGTATTCTTAAGAAGTACTTGACGAATAGATACAAATGTGAGTGGATGAACAAACAAAAAAAAGGAAGAAATATTGTGGTGAGACAGAGACAGTGCTGTGAGAGACACTTACAGAGGGCTGGGAGGGTACTTGTTACCTGGCTGTTGACACCAGGTCTGCCAAGCTCGCTAAAAACAACAGAATGCATTCTCTCAAGGCCCTGGAGGTACAGCATATTTGTCTCAGGCCCTTGGAAGGCTCCAGGGGAGAGGCCTCCCCCTTGTTTCTTGTAGCTCCTAGTGGACCCAGTGGTCCTTGGCTTGTAGCAGCATCACTCCAATCTCTGCCTCCTCCTCCTTCACGTGGCCTCTGTGTCTTGGTGTCCTCTCCTCCATAAGGACACCAGTCACTGGGGTCAGGAGCTGCATTAAGCCCAGGAAGATTTCATTTAGAGATTTTAAACTAGTTACATCTGTAAAGACCTTCCTTCCTGAGTTTCCGGTGGGAGGGGGAGTAGACATGACATTTAGGAAGGGGCATACTATTCGATTCTTTGCAAAAGGACTTCAGGTAAGGTGGCATGTGAGCTGGACCTGGGAGGATGAGCTAGAGTTGGCAGGCACAGGGAACAACCGGTGCAAATTTACACAGAAAGGTCCTAATGGAGACCCTCCTCTCCACAGGGGCGGGGTGTGGGTCTGCAATGGTGAAGTGACGGGTAGGAGAGGCAGAGGGAGGGATACAACAAAACTCAAACTCACTGTCATTGAATTGATTCCGACTCACAGTGACCCTATAGAACAGGTTAGAATTGTCCCTGTGGGTTTCCAAGATTAACTCTTTATGGGAACAGTATGCCTCCCAAGGTAGTTTCAAACTGTTGACCTTGCTGTTAGCAGCCCACTCCATAACCTACTACACCATCAGGGCTCTACATACTAATAAATATGAGGGGTGGGGTGGGGCGGAGAGCTCAAAGACATTTACTCTGTGCAGTTGCTAAAGAGCCTGTGATGTTAAAGTGCTCTATTGCTACAAAAGGCTGGTGGTTTGAACCCACCAGCCAGTCCTGGGAGAGAGCAATGTGGCTGTCTGCTTTGACAAACATTTACAGCCTTGGAAACTCGGTGGGGTCAGGTCTACTCAGTGCTGTCGAGTCTAGCTGAATCAGAATTAATCCCTTAAAAGTGGGTATCAAGGGGAGAGGCTGGGTCGGCTCCACCTTGGCTGACTAACCATAAAGGTGGACAGCTCACACCTCCCAGAGTCACTTCAGAAGGCCTGGCGAGCTGCTGCCAAAAGGTCACTGCTTTGGGCACCCTCTGAAGCAGTTCTACGCTGCACACCGCCCATGGGCCTGAAACACATTGGCGGGGTCCAATTTGCAACGGTTCTCTTTATCTCCAGGAGTCAGAATCTACGGGGGGGGCTGGAATATCCAAATCCATTCCTTTAGGAAATATGTTTCCAAGATTGCTTCCCCCGCCCGGCCTCCCCCACCCGCCAAAAGAACGCTGCTGTTTCGTGGGGAGAAGTGTGGTGCTCAGGGACTGACTTAACTGCGAAGCTGCCCTGTAGCCAGGAGTGGGGTGAGGGGAGGCGTGGCGCTAACTCACAGGTTTCTGGCTTAGGAAAGAGGGTCGTGGTGAAACTTCCAAGATAAGCCCTTCAGGGCACAGCATGGGCAAGTGTTATGGGGCAAATAGTGAAGTGAAAAGGGAGCACCTTCAGTTCGGGTGGCACTCTCACTCAGGGGTGTTGACACACTTCTACACACCTGCATAGAGCACCTGTAGGGTCTTAGAGCTCCCCGCCCCGGGGTGGGGGGTCGTCTGAGGGCCTGAGCCCTGGGGACATGTACTGATTGATGCTGCAGAGCGTGCCCATCAGCCTCCTCCACCTGCATCAGGCGAGGGTGACGCACCTGGGAGGCCCGTCGGGCGCGGAAACCTGAACTCCGGAGTCTTGCGTGCCCCCACTTCACTGAAACAGATTTCAAACCGCGGCTTCACACTTCCTGCCTCAGTGTCCCCGTCACACATGCTGGCGGGCCCTGCACGCACCACTCCACATCGCAGGCATGTGGCGAGGGCCAGTGGGCCGGCCTTGGCTCTCGGTCAGCCTGCCCCACGACGGCTAAGAGAGTCCCTCCCGGGCGAAGTCCTGGGGCGCAGGGCCTAGGGACGCTGGCCGTCC